TTTTCAGCTGTCCAGCTAATTTCTTTCTATTTTTGGTAGAGACGAGGTCTTGGTCTTGCTCAGGCTGGTCTCGAACTCCTGACCTTGAGCAATCCTCCCGCCTCGGCCTCCCAGAGTGCTGGGATTACAGGCGTGAGCCACCTCGCCCGGCCTGGGAATGGCTTTTGGGGGCTGCTGAGGAGGTGGGCGGTAGCAACCGACCTTCGCTGCGTTAGACTCTAAAACTGAGCAAAGTTCTGAACTAACGGCGACAAACGCGTTGCATGTTGACACAAATGAATTGTCCTGGGACGCAGTGACAGTGCGGAGCTGCTTAAGTCACTGCTGGCCTTGGGCGCAGGCTGCATCTGCCGAGAAGGTCGGGTTGTGCTGAGGCCGGGAAGCCGGCACCCACGCGGAGGGCAAACGCCGCCGTGCAGTGTCAGGAGAGTGGGTGTGGACCATGGAGAACTGTGGGAGGGTTTGCAGCCAGGGGTTTCGATCTTGTCTGGTTTTATAAAGATCTCCTTGACTGGCAGGGTGCGGTGGCTCACGCCTGTCATCCCAGCACTCTGGGAGGCCAAGGCGGGCGGATTGCTGGAGGTCAGGAGCTCGAAACCAGCCTGAGCAAGAGCGAGACCCCGTCTCTACTAAAAATAGAAAGAAATTACCCATACAGCTAAAAATATATAGGAAAAAATTAGCCGGGCATGGTGGCTCACGCCTGTAGTCCCAGCTAATCGGGAGGCTGAGGCAGGAGGATAGCCTGAGCACAGGAGATTGAGGTTGCTGTGAGCGAGGCTGACGCCACTGCACTCACTCTAGCCTGGGCAGCAGAGTGAGACTCTGTCTCAAAAAACAAAACAAAACAAAATGATCAACTTAAAATTCGAAACTATTTCTCTGTCCCAGACGCAAATAACTAGAAAGTAGAGGATGAGATCCACTCACTTCAAGGAGAGAAACACCACCAGGACCGCCGCCGTCCATCCCGTGTGCTGGTGGAACCCAGCAGGAGGCTGCACGGGGCTCTTCTCGGGGACAGGAGGGGCCACACGGTGGCTCCTCCACACGCCCAGGCGCCGCGTTCCCGAACCAGACTCCCGTCCCCACCGTCTCCTGCTCAAGGAGGCAAACAGAGGCCATACGCGGGCCCTGCAGTCATCTCTGTGCCCGAGCTCGTACTGCCTTCGGGGGCATTTTTTGTTCCTGACTTAACAGCAAGCAAGAACAACAACAGACCCCAGGCCTCCAAAACACAAACGGTACAAAACATCCAACCTGCCCGTTGGCCGTGTGACCCGGGCCCTGCGGCCAGACCAGGCCACCTCCCTGCCTGCTCTCCTGTCAGGGATAGAAGCCCAGGCTGCCCGAACCGTGAGCTGTTCTTTGCTCAAACAAACTCTGTTAAATCTGTCTAAACTGTTTCTTTTTTCTTTTTCTTTTTTTTTTCTGACAGAGTCTCACTCTGTCGTCCGGGCTAGAGTGCCGTGGCGTCAGCCTCGCTCACAGCAACCTCCAACTCCTGGGCTCAAGCTATCCTCCTGCCTCAGCCTCCTGAGTAGCTGGGACTACAGGCATGTGCCACCATGCCCGGCTCATTTTTTCCTATATATTCCTATATATTTTTAGTTGTATGGGTAATTTCTTTCTATTTTTAGTAGAGACGGGGTCTCGCTCTTGCTCAGGCTGGTTTTGAACTCCTGATCTTGAGTGATCCGCCCACCTCGGCCTCCCAGAGTACTAGGATTACAGGCGTGAGCCACTGCACCCACCCGGCCTAAACTTTTTCTTTTAACATGAGGTCACCACGTATCTTCGCAGCGGGCCCCAAGACACACCTTTTGGTCCTGAGAGAACCAATGTGCGGACGCCCCGCCAGGTGTGAAAGCAGAGCCCTGCAGGGAGCCGGGCCATGTCCCCGTGGGGCTCAGTCCTGGGGCTTCGTGAGTGCAGCTCCCCGCAGGGCGTTTGCCCCATTTCCAACTCGGAACCAGCCAGAGACGGCAAACCCATCATGGACGGCTGCTCCATTCGCCACCCCCACCCCAACGACGGCCTCCGCTGGGGCGCCTGTGACCCCCCCACAAGCCCGGGTGCAGTGCGGGGCGGACTCCCGATGACCAGCGCCCGGGTTTCTTTTGCCAGCCTCTGCCGGAACCCGCCCCCGGCCGGGCGCCTGCCGCGTAGGCACCACAAGGTCCGGGACGCCAGGGGCCCGTTCTCACGTCCATCACGGTCTCGAAGGCCCCGATCCTGGGCCTGACACCCCTGGCCGTGGAAACTACGTCCAGGATGAGCCACAGCCGCTGCGCAAGCCCGCTCCCCTGTCGAACCCAGCGGAGACGCCTTCCAGGTCGCGCCTTGAACATGCTTAAATTTTAAGCCTGCAGCATTCTCTCTGTACTTTGAACCGGAAAAACATTTTTTGTTTCTGGTCTCAAACCTTCTCACAGGCCTTTGCGAAGTTCACGGGCCCAGTTTCCAAACCGGCACGGCGCGCCCGACAGATCAAACGGCCCCGCCTGGCGCAGAAGCACACGGCGTCCCGGGAGAAATCCCGGTCCCTGAAAGGTCACAGGTCACCACCATGTGCCGCGGCTCTGTTCACACCAGCCAGGAGGCGGGAGCAACCCCGGGTCCCCCCACTCCCCCAACAGATGGTGGATGAGACACGGAAAGACACGCACACGCAGTGTGGTGTCAGCCGGCCTTGCGGAGGAGGGACGTTCCGGCACCGGCTGTAGCACGAACGGACACGGAGTTGAGACACAGGTCCCAGGGCGTGGAGCTCCCGGGGGGGGGGCGCCAGGGCAGGGAGGGGACAGGGAGGCATGCGGTGGGGACAGAGACTCCCTGCGAGTTCCCACGGAGACGGGCCATGTGGTGGTTGCCCGGCAACCGAAGGTGATTGACACGCTGAACCGCGTGCTCAAAAACGGTGAAAACGGTTGATGTTACGGTCGGTGAGTTTGACCACCATAGAAACGAGGGTCACAGGCC